AAAAAAAAAAAAAAACAAAAAAACAAAAGGCATTTTTAAACAAAGACATGTGCTTAGACATAAAAGAAAAAAATGGGGATTGAAACGGGAAATAAATCCAAGGAATGTGATTTTAAACAAAGATGTGAGATAAATGGTAAACCATGAATCATGGAAAACATTCCTAATTTTATTTATATAATTATAAAATTTATCTTAGTTTTTCGCGACTTTCGCGACAATAACATTGACTACCTAGAAATTCTTCCTAACTTCTAAAACAGTTTTGCTATCATGACTTTACAAGTGATGATTAAATATAACTGATAATAGGAAGATGATATCGCTTCACAGGGAACTCTTCTGAAGCGATAGGTTATATTTTCTTCCATTACTGTACCTCGAATATCCTTTTGTCAAAGAAATCGTATAAATTCTATCTGAAGGATCCAGTTCTATTTGTAGAAATGCCTCTTCCAGTTTAGATGCTATTATGTTTTCCATCATTCAAAAACGAAATAGTATTCTACTAAGTCTGAAATTGTCGGCCCACGATATAAGGCGTTATTCAAACTTTTCATTGCTTCAGATGTGCTGAGACATGTAAACAGTTCTTAGCGTTGTCATAGTTTTTACTTGCGCTTATAACTTGAAATAATGGATAATATGGTGATGAAACAAATAATGGGTAATTCATAGCGGGTAATAATGGGTAATCCTGATCCATATTGGGCCACATTTCTTCAATTACAGTCAATAATGACACATAATTGGTCTCGACTTATTTCATCGTATCGCTAAACTAAGTATTCATCAGTCTAAAGTCGTTTGATTAGTGTTTTTAGACGAGCAAAACATAAGTCATAATTATTGCTTAATTTAATCTTTAATCCTTTGATTGTTTCCCTGCTAGTAGACGTAATATCTTCCTTTTGATTTGGTGACACTTCCTTTGATAGTTCTGTTGTTTTTTTCATCATCATGGTAGGTTGTTTCTGAATGCCTATAAATTCTAGTTTCCAGAATTGATATCCAGAATATTAGTTACACTAGCTATACATATCAATTTGACTTCGACCGATGTTTCATTAGAACTGTGTAATTTATTTATGTACCTGCTTCTAGTTACCATAGATCCAGTTTTTGTATGGAACAAGGGAAATCCCGATTTTAGAATTTGAACCTTTTCAAGTTGGATGAATTTGAAGAAGTAATTAGCTCCGATGGATATATTAGGCTGTTTCCAATAGCTTTTTAGACAATCTAATTAGCCTTGATTTATCGTAGATGATAAATCGTAATCGTTTAATTCACTGCTTTTCATATTTTGGTATCTTATTACCAAATGAGGTGATATTAAATTCTTGTTCTGTTTCTTTAGATTTAATCGATTTGATAAATCTTTGGATATAATAAAATTTTAAAATATTTGATGTGGTATATTATTTTTTCCTACATATTTATGTTTGATTTGTCATATTTTAAAGTTTTTCTGGTATTTGGAGTTCAGTAATCTTGTCGAATATTCTATTTGAAAATTTCACGAATAGTTCACCAGTTTGTGGCGTACATATTATTTGATCAAAAATTATATTTGTGATCACATAATACAGATTTTCATTATTGCTGCAAAATATAATAACAATATAAACAAGCGCAAGATAAACTACGGGGAAAAACTGACCTATTGTCGAATCCAGTTAAATGTTTCCTTTTCTTATGAACTACGATGATTTACTCTACGATTTTATGGTTATTCTACTACTTGATGATCATTATTCCTCATATTTCCTCAAAATTTTTCATTCAAAGGAGAGTCCTGTACAGTGCTTAGGAATTTCATGTATTAACTACTGGTAACGAAGTGAGCTTATTTGTATTCTTGAATGATATCGTTTTCTGTTTATTTGTTTCTTGAACATCCACTTATCGTCCAGGTGTTAAAGTTGCTGAACGAAGCGGGCATAAATTAACACCTACGAAAGGGTTGTTATAATCGAAAAGAACGTTTTAATTGGTATCCATGTAGTACAAGTCGTGTTTTCAAAGCTTTCAGTAAGATCGACAATTGAATTGATTGGTGACTGCAATTATTTCTTCTGGAGATCTGTGCACTCGTGATTAGCGGAATTATAAATTTTTTTCCCATCCGTGCATTTGTGACTAATGAAGCGTGTAGATACCGCGGATGGCCGGTGCTAGTGAAATAGTTGAATTAAATGCCTTTCTTTACTTATAAAAACTTAACTTTCATGCATATTTGATTGGTCCAAATTCAAATAATAAATCAAAAATTGAAGTAACTCCATATTCAGGGTAGCTAGATTACAGCAGTAAATGTTTCTAAGAAAATAAATTGATAGAGGAGGAGAACATTGGAGATGTCGAAAATTGTTTCGAATTATTCAGAGGTGTCTAGTATGAGTAAAATGGTGAACGCAGCATGACACGCTTTGATTCTCAGAGAATTCATATGCATCTGTTCTGATTATCAAGCGCGATAATCATGATTGTAATTTCTGCTATATGATAAAGATTAAGTAATTAAGTGTTGAAGATCATTTTTCAGGAATAAAAGATGCAGGCTGATCTTTCACACTATTCGCACACCATTGAGTGTAATTTTTTGATTGAGCGCTTGCAGCGATGTTATACTGATCATCCTTTTGGTATCCTCTTTTAAGCTTATTTCTCTAAACTTCTCTCTAAACTCTTTCTAAACAAATTGTTTTTATGGTCTTGATTTAAAAGAAATTAGACTTAAATACCTATTTTTTCAATTTTCCAATTTCCAGGGAAATTTTTTGGCTACTGTGATAAAGAGGCAAGTGATGTTGCTCTCTGTTGCCACGAAGAACGAGTTCTAAAAAGGTTTTACGTTGGAATGATTCATTTTTTGATTCAGTGCTTTTTGAATGTAACGTTAAGGTAATCATAGGTTTGAAATGTGACATTTTAGTGATTTTAAATAACAAGAGAATGTCAGTGTTTCTGATTCTTATGGATGTTTTCTGGTCGTTATGGATTAACTGTTCTTTTTTTTCTTTTTTTTTTTTTTAAGGAAAAGTAATCCACGATATTCTCCGAGGCCAGAGGAGAATCATTGTTTGCCAGAGAGTTCATATACAGCAACTCTAAAGAAACTGAAAGAAGAAGGTGTACTTATCATTAGACCAGAAGTTATGTTTGTTATTTCTTATTTCTCTCTGCGTTTCCAAAAATTTTCTCCATACATTACGGAAATTATAAGTTTGAAATATGATGTTTTAGTGATTATTTTGAGTAACGAAGATGAAAGTAAGAGAAGTAAAACACGTATAAATTACTTTATTTCAACATAATGAATAACCAGAAAGGGATGGTTGTGTTCCGACGGTTATTCTGTAACAAACATATGTCTCCCATATAAGAAATATCGGAGTTATTCGAAGACGAAATAATACTAGAGATCAAACGAATGCTTTTCCTGTTTTCTGTCATGTCGACGTGCTACAGAATAATGTAGCAAACGTATTACATGAGAATGTACCTCAGATTAAAATAGTTTTACACATATTATCCCTATTACAGATTGTGAGCGGCGACGTTTTCGGCAATCAGAAATATCCTGAATTTTTAACATGTTTCGTTAGCAGTCATTGCTTGAGAAAGAGTGTGAAGTAAATTGTAGGTGATGGACACTATGGAACTGTGGTACATTTTGTTGGTTTGTAAATTTTTCTTCAGAACTTCTTGTGAGGTTATTCCTTTTGAACTTTTATTTAGTGCGTAAACATAACATGTATGTAGTGCAACAACTTCTGAAACTAGTAATGTTTTTTTTTCCGCAAAAGTAGACCCAAAATTCGAATTCTTTCATCTTTTTTCACTGCCGTCAATGTTACTGTTTTTGACCATCACTGTTTTTCTGCCCGTAATTCAAAACTAACAAATATTTTAATCACCCAACTAGAATATTCGGGCGATATAATGCTTCGTGGCTTACTTAATTTTTGCAATTTTGCTTATCTGATGAACTACTGTGATTCCATTTCTACGAATAAAAGACTTTAGCACTGTGGAACACACATAATAATATCCGTAAGGTGAAGATATTGTTCCTGACAAATAATTGTGATATCTTTGATGTATTGTAATTTGTTGGACATATTACGCTTCGAGTACGTTGACTAACAAAAGACTGAGTATAGCAATACTGATCATAAAACGATAATGAGGAGTAAGTGATCAATTAAAAAGTAATTACTTCTTTGTTGTTACAGCACTTTAGTACGGAGTGAAAATTTATTGAAAATGATCTTCATGGACCATGCATTGAATATAAACTCCATGAGAGTGGATGCTGTGTTGTTGGAAGGTGGTGATTGCAGTGACTGACGAGGAAAAATTTTCGAAAAAAGCATTCTTACAAAGATATCAATATCTTGTCTCCTTCAACTTCTTAAGTGATGCTGGTTTGAAACCGCGATAGCTATTGTTGCATATTGCTTTGCAAATGTAATGTTTTGAAATGCAGCCGTTTTATATAGTTTCGTGTCTGATTTATCAACCTTGCGTATGGATTAAACATTATAACGCTTTTGCAATATTGCAATGCAAGTTGTTCTATTTCACCAAAAAATTCCCGAAACTTTTAGATTTTGAAGTGATGACCACTGCACTTTGCACTTCTTTTTACACATGTGGAAATGGATGCTTCGAAATCCTGAAGACTCAAAAATAATTTATGTTTCTCCACACTCATTATGCTCACGGTAATGAAGTTTAAATTTCATGATATGACATGTTAGTTGGATTTAAAGAAGCAGTACTACTGTAAAGCATAGTGTCATTTGTCTGATTTATCAACCTTGCGTTATTTCTTAGTGAGTTTCCCTCCGATATTTTCCACATATTTTTCAGTTTAGGACCATGAAAACTTGATCAAGTCAGATCAAAAGTCACAAAGTGCTATGAAATAATCTACGTTCAAAGTTACAAATTTGAAAAAGTCGGTGTGAAAGCGAAAATGTTTATATGAGAGGACAAAAATCATCCTCGAAAAAGTTTTTCTTTTCATTTGTGATTATAAATACTTTTTTTACTTTTGATTGTACTATATGCATTACTTGACTCGGGTCGAGAATTCAAGATTTTATCAGGCAGGTAGTGAAGAACACTTACTCGAACAAAATTAGATACAGCCTATTTTTTTTTATAGACAACGTTATTACTCAGTTTAATAACAGAGTTATTACTCTGTATTACAGAGTAATAACTATCAGAGTGCAGCAGTGAATGGACATATTCGCTACAGTATGTTGTTGAGGCATATCATGAAGCAATAGGGCTGAAAATACAGTGAAATGTAACAAGAGTAGATGGAATATACAGCATTCCATTTCTTGGCCTATGTTAACAGATCATGCGTTAATATCATGGCTACATTTATGATCTAAAATTTAAAGTTGTCAAAATACTATCAAAATATGGACGCAAAGTTAAAAAGAGACAAAACGAAT